TTTGTCATGGAGTGCTGCAGCTAGGTCCCATGCCATTGTATTATAATACCCTGTGGAACAGGCCAAAGTGCCTCTGTATGCTACCAGATACCATGTGCTGAGATAGCTGTAGCCTAGAGAGTCCCTGAGAGTGATGCCAATCATCATCAAAAAGCATTTTTTTAAGCACCTATCTGTACATGGTTCTATCCTAGGCACTGTACAAAACGAGTTAAACAGACATGGCCCCTGCCCCCTGGGAGTTTTCAATCTAAGATGATGCTGGCATGGACAGACATAAAGGATATTGAGACAACTGAACAAACATTGAACAAGAACATAAAGTACTAACATTATGCACAAGCAAAGGGGTAAGTGCCTTTTGTGGGATAGTATGTAAAGGAAGCCTCATGGGACACGAACAGGGTGGGGTAAAGCTATTAGTCAACCTCTATCAGGTTAGGTTAGTTTCCATTGGGAAATTGGGTTTCCTTACAGACTTAAAGTAGGGACAGAACATTTCAGAAATAGAGTGCAACAAAAAGAAGACTTCGAACAAGCAGAGTAGTTTAGAACTATATTTTTGGACTCCTTGTGGCCTCCAAAAATCTCCAATTCTGTATGGTTCTGAATCTGAAAGTGGGGTTGATGTTTTGGCTTAGCAAGTTGGCATTTGAGTTCGGTCTAGGTCAAAACTAGTTCAATGCAATGCAAAAAGCAAATTAAAAAAACTTGGAAACTTGAGTAGCTTCTGTAAGTGGTCTATTTTGCTTGTTAAATCTCTTTTATGAACCATTTGCTGCTTAACAGAAACCTTGGAGTTCATGGGAGCTGTTATCTTCTCATGAACTTCTACAAGATTATCTTGTGAAACATCTGTATATGCTCATTAAAGTACGTTCTATGTTAGAAACTTCAGCACTCTGGCAACATATAGAAATTATTTCTTAAGAATTGGTCAGAGGTGTTTTTGAGGATACCTTTCTATCTCAGAGAAAGGTCCTGGGAATTCTGGGTGTTATTCTAAGCAGTGCCAGGAGATGTTGAACAGTAAGTACTACCTGCCCTTCAGTCATTAATTTCTTATCTTCCAAGATGTGCCTTTAACACCATGCATACATAGACTTGAATTGAAATCACAGCTGCAGCAAATCTACTTTTGCAGTGTCTGCCAGATAAAAATGATTCCTGCTTCTTCAATAGACATGGACTTAGGAGTTTCCCCAATAGTTCTCAGGCCACTGATGTCATTCAACTATGCAATGTGAAAATTTGAATTTACCGAGATTTTAGGGTGTAGTTGTTTTTTTTTTTTTTTTACAAAAGAATTCACAATAGATTTCCTTTTAACTGCAGGCTTCCCTGGTGCCCTTTAAATTATTGGATTTTCAAAACTTGTATTTATACAGAGTTTCTTCAATTGCCATCTATTGTATAAGTGCAGTACTGTTGAAAACATAAGTGCTAAAGCCCACTGAAGCATTAAAAATTCAATAATGCCTTTTTAAAATATTGAAGCCTTTTAATATTTTATATGTTTAACTTTTGAGGTTCATTTATTCATACTTCTTCCTCCCCATTAGAATTGAAGTTTTCAAGAGCTAGAGTCTTTCCTTTCCTCACTTCCTATAACTCCTTGTGCTGTAATCTCACAATAAGTAGAAGCTAGTGACTGTTGCTGTTTTCATTTTATGACCCCAAGTCATGGGATAGTAGTGCATGATAAGCTTCCTAATAGAAAGACTATGATTTCGGGACTGTCATCCAGAGGATTTTAGTAATTGTTCTTAATCACCAAATAGCTTGCCTAAATAATCTTTACCTCTCAGAAATACCTCCCCTATGTGACAGTATATTATTGTAATGGTATGTTTACCACTAGGCATTTGTGCTTCCTTTTAAATATTAAACTAATCTTGGTCTAGTCTGTCTGAAAGAGGCTTGAGAGGTTTAGTTTAGGCAAAATAAACTTAAAACAAAAGCCTGGACAGAATTTTGTCAGAAAAACTGGAATTAGGTACTATAAAATGCAGCCAGTTTGTCTTAATATATTTTGCATATGACTCAAGGGATGAGTAGAAAATTTCCAAAAGGAAGTATGAGAATTTTTTGTTTGTTTTTGCTTGTACAAAAAGGATTTACACAGGAAGAAAATTGAGCTCATTATGTTAGAATCTTCTGAGATCTTTAAAGGAAAGACAATTCAAATATCTCGAGATTGTCCATGTTTGTGATAGATAAAAGCAGTACTGATGGATTACTTTTTAGGAATTGTGTTTTCGTCCAAGTGACTGGTTACTTTTTTTAGGAAGTATCTTGCTTCACTCCGTCAATAGATAGTTCCAAGTATCTGTGGAAAAGTAGGAGGAAGAAGGTACCTTCTTTCCTCATAAATCAGAATTTATAAGAAAATAGTCTTATAACTTGGTCTCAGTGCAGAATAATGAAAAAGGAAGACCTAGAGATCTTCATGTCATATAGTTTTAAATAAGTACCTCAGTAGAGTATTCAGCAAATAGTTGAGAGTCATAAGAATTTGAGATTCATCAGTAAGCAAAACAAAAAGGTTATTTTCCCTTTGGAGCTTATGTTCTAGTTCAGGAGTAAGCCAACTTTTTCTGTAAAAAAATAGCTAGTAAATATTTTAGGCTTTGCATGTGGTCATGTTGCAGTAAAACTTTCTTTACAAAAACAGGCTGCTGGCTTGATTTGGCCCATGGGCATAGTTTCCCAACCCCTATTCTAGTAGATGGAAACAGAATTAATAAGTAAATTAGACTATGTTAGGTGATAAGTACTTTGGGGAAAAGAAAAATGGAGCAGAGTAATCAAGTAGGGAGTATGATGAGGCAGAAGTTGGCCAGGTGGTGCTCACTGAGGTCAAGAAGAGGAGGGACCAGCAAAGGAGACTGAAAAGTGAGTGACTGGTGAGAGGGAAAGAAAGCCAAGAGATGGTGATGTCCTGGAAATGCAGTGAAGAGCCTTATATTGGGAAGAAGGGAAAGTCTGTGTCAGATGTTGCTGTTAGGCCAAATAAGAGGAAGGCCGAGATTAAACCATTGGATTTAACTATGTGTAGGTTGTTAGTGACCTTGATGAGCAGTTTTGGTGGAGTGGGTTTAGGAGAGAATTGAAGGAGAGAGTAAGTGACAACAGATGTCTTGAGGAATTTTGTTGTAAAGGGAGCAAAGAAATGGAGCAAGAGTTGAGTTTGCTTTAAGATAAAAGAAGTAGTGACACATTTGTTTGATGGAAATAATCCAGTAAAGAGTAGGGGGGAAATGATGTAGGAGAATAGGAGAGAATTGCTGGAGCTGTGGCTTTGAGTTGGCAAGGGATGGGGTCTGGTGTATAAGTGAAGGGAATGACTTCAGATAGGTGTGATGCTGTAGATGGGTACGTGTGCTGTAGAGAGTCTGTAGTTGTTCCCTTGTGGCTTGAATTTTTTGATTAAAGAATTACCAAAAGAGAATATGAAAGTTGAAGTGTTGAGGTTTTATATGTACCTATAGCCCTTAACTTTTAATACCAGCTTTTGATGGATCTTTGGTGACTCACTAGAAGGACTTTTATTGTGCCCTCTGAGGGAGTTATAAACTTAACCCAGCAAAGTTGTCTATTTTAAGGATTAAACCCTACGTTATGAGACTGAATAATAATGCATGTAGTGCCTGTGGCACAGCACCTGGTATCATGTAGACAATCAAAAAATACTATTATTAGAGGATGTAGAGTCAGTATGCACTGAAGTAGGCTTACTTTATCTCTTTGGTCCCAAAAGATACTTTGTCATAGTTTTAAATGTTATGTAAGTCAAATTTGACAATAGTAAATAAATACGCTAAATTTAAGTCATAGGTCCTTTGACGTCTCTCCTACTGGTCTTTCTACTTGTGGTCTCTCTTTATACAGTGACTAATGATATTTCTGGCTCCAATGATCAGGGCGAAGTATTGATCAGGGCTCCACAGATGGATGCTTGTTCTTATATGTTTAATTATTTTACCATCATCTTGCTATGTTAGTTTTTATGTACTATTAAAATAAATTGTTTCCGTGTACAGCATCCTCCTGTAGATTGTAAGCCCCCAGAAGGTAGGTAATAATGTTAAATATTTCTAAGAAAATGTCTCAAGTAATAGTTTGTATGTAGAGGATATTCAACAAATAATGATTACTAAATCATGGTTTCATTTTCCTTCGGTTAAACTTAGATATCCAATTCTTTAGGCCTTACTCTAATTCACTTCCACTATTCTGAGAAATTCTGGAGCTAAATTATATTGAACTTAATGGCAGTTCTTAGAATACCTCCAAATGTGGCTATTCCAGGCAACTTCTAGAGAAAGATGGTAGCCAAATTCCACAATAAGCACATAATAGCAGCAGCATACTTGGCACATACAGCTGTTGGAATGCCACAGAAACTGGCATCATGATCATTAAAAGAAGTTTGTTAGAAAATAATATTCAACTGAATATAGCATACTGAAAATCAAAGTAAGATAGATTGACTTTATGTAATTGTAAGAAAATAGCCTAGGTTACTACCTTCGTACATTGTACCAAGGAAGTGATGAGTGAAGTCAAAGAAGTGATATTCTTACCAAGTACTAAAGAATCTAATTATGGCCAGGAACTGTTTGGGAAGAACAAGCTGAAATGGCCATTTCATTCTGCAGTAGCCAGTGTGATTAAAAGATAGAGTGAGAGAATTATTTCCTTTATAAGAAGCAGCTGTATCTGAGGCTTTACTCTTAGGGTTACTGATAAAAATAAAAATGTGAAGACGCTATTTCCTAGAATTTAGGAAGTAAAACTTAGCTGTTTGTGCAAATGACTGAGAAATTCTAAATTTATTTAAATCTAGGTTGCTAGCACATTTATAACAGTTATTTCTAAAGCATCAGAACATCCAACTTCATAAAAATATTTTAGATCAATGGAAAATATTGAACAAGCCATTTGAAAAAAAAAATCTGTCTTGTGTTGAACCTTTCCTTGTTTTCTTTGTATTATAGGTCCAGTTGTTTACGTCTTGGATCTTGCAGATAGACTGATCTCAAAAGCCTGTCCATTTGCTGCGGCGGGAATAATGGTTGGCTCTATCTATTGGACAGCTGTGACTTATGGAGCAGTGACAGTGATGCAGGTTCACTATTTTACTCTTTTCAATGATACTACTTTTGATGTGAAGATCTATTAAAAAGATTTTTGTTAGGAGTTTTAAAATTTATTATTTTGAACAAGTAGTAACATTCTATGGCTTAAAAATGAAAAAACATGTAAAAAGTTATCTAGAGAAAAGTCTTCTTACTCCTGTCCTTCACTTGTCCAGGTTCCCCCTCACCTCTGCAGGTAGCCACTGTTAGTTTCAGATATATTCTTCCAAACTTTCTTTGGGCTTATGCAAGAAAAATATGTTCTTACACACGCTGGGGTTTTTTGGCGGGGGGGGGGGGGGGGGGGGGGTGCCTTAAAGGAAACATGTTAGAGCTGCATCCTTCTTTTTTCACAAACAATGAATCATGGAGATTTTTTTATATAAATATGCAGAAATCTGCATAGCATTCGATGTATAGAATTACAACAATTTACCAACCAGTCTCTTGTTAATTAGACCATTAGTTGCTTTTGGGGTTTTTGCTGTTACAAAACAATGCTATAATCAATAACTTGATGAAGATTAGAGAGACTTAAATTTCAAGATATAGTCCCAGGCCCCTGACTCTTCTCTGTTTATACCCCTTCCTTAAAGATTTCCAGCTATCATTTCTGTGCTTTTTGTGTTCAGATCTATGTCTTTTGCTCTCCTCTTTCCCCAAATCCAGTCCTACAATAGCAGCTCGACCCTTCTCTTTAAATGACCTCTTGTGACTTCACACTCAATATTATTGAGATGAAATTTGTCTTTTTCTCAATTTGAATCCTAAATTTATTCCCCATTATAATTTCTCTATACCTTTGATTCCTACTATTATTTTCCCATCTACTCAATTTATATTCTACATTCTTAGGATTACCTTAATTCTTTCTACTTCACAGCCCAAGATCCAGTCCACTGACCAAGTCCAAGCAGTTTCCATTCTGGTATGTCTTCCATCTATGACTTCCTCCCATGGCTTTACTGCCCAACTTCTTATCATTCCCCCATCATACCTGGATGGCTAAAGGAGCCATTAGATTGGTTTCTTTAACTTTATTCTCTTCTGTCCATCTATCCTTCCAAAAGAATCTTCCTAAAATAATACCTTCAACATCTTACTCCAAGCTTACTGTCTTCTCTGCCTTAAGTAGTGATTTTCAAAAGCTGCACCTAGATTGGTTGTAACTCAGTAAGTTAACACACTTTGGTTTGTAGATGATATAACTTGCTTTTTTCTTTAATATAAATCAGAGAGTGCATGGAAGAAAAAGGGATCGAGGGAGTTATATGTAATGTTCTAGAAATTGCACACAATCTCTCTATGCCAGGGTCCATGGTAAGCAGCCTTTCTGGTTGCTCCCTTAATTGTCATGGTGAGACAGAGTATTGCAAGGCTTTTTCATAAAATGTTGATAACACTGCAAACATCTGCGTATAGTCACTGGAATGGATCACAAATAGTAAACCATCGTTTGTCGTGAGTGTAGTGGATAAAGATTGAGAATCTATGACTTGAAAGAGATTTCCTTAACCTGATTTGTTATGCAGCGCCCTTCACAATCTTATTTCATTCTACTTTGAAACCATTGGGCTGTCTCCTCCAACCCATCCTTCTGTTGTTTTTTTGTCTGTTTTGTTTTTTTCTTCTTTTTCTCCCCAAAGCCCCCCAGTACGTAGTTGTATACTGTAGTTGTGGTCCTTCTGGTTGTGCTTTGTGGGACGCCGCCTCAGCATGGCTTGATGAGTGGTGCCATGTCTGCGCCCAGGATCTGAACGAGCGAAACCCTGGGCCACCGAAGCAGAGCGTGTGAACTTAACCACTCAGCCACGGGGCCAGCCCCCCTTATGTTATTTTGTTTTTTACCTCTGTCCCTTGGCTTATATCACCCTCCTGCCGAATACCTGTTCTTCCAGTCTTCTCTCTACTTGTCCAAATCTAAACCCCTTTTCAGGTCTTAGTTCCCCAGCCACTTTTTCTTCATAAAATCTACTAGGCAACTCCTGGCTGCTGTGATTTCTTCTTCATCTGCATTCATGACATTTTCATTCCTCAGATGACAGCTAATCTTGTGCTGACCAAGTGATATTTCTTATACAGAGTACCTAAGTTATTTAATTTTCTCTGTATTTAGGCCTTATTTTTCCTATTAGAAGGTAATTTCCTTGAAACTTGAGACTATCTTATACTTAATATTCCCTACATAGCACATGTACAGAGACTAACACTTGAAAGGCTTTCATAAATATTGATTTTTTTAATATATGATCAGTTCTAACAGGTTTGTTTGACTGATTATATTCTCTACAATGATTTGTTAAACTCCAATAATCAGTATCAGTACATTATTAGATCAAGGAGGTTCAGGGTGATTCACTGGGACTCACAAAGACCTGAAAACTTAGAGCAGATTATACATTATTTAATGTACAAATACATTATACAGATATTTATTTTTGCAGATGAGGAAATTAAGGCCCTCTGATATTGAGTGATTTCTCTTAAGACCTAATTGACCATAAGAAGTGGAATAGCTCTTTTTGAGGAAAAGATTTTAGGTTAGCTCAATCTTAAAAGAATTTTGATAATTAATGGGACAATAGGAGCCAATTAAGGAATATAGTTTGTATTCTCTGAAAAAGACTACCAGCTGCATTTTGGCATTTTGAACCATATTGGTATGACTCATTCAAAAAGTTAACACTGAGCTGAAGTCTGTGTAAAATACAAAACAAAATTGAAAGCCCTGATCCCCAGCCTCAAGGAATACAGTCTTAAGGCAAGCTGTGCATAAGTGATCAACCTGAGAACTGTTATAATGTTATATAAACAAATGTGAAGAGAGTGCAGAAGACTACATAAACAGTATTTTATTTCAGTAAAAGTGAAAGATCGTTTGAAGTTATGAAAAATGTAAGTCTTGATCTGACTCTTGAAGGAAGTGATTTGGCTAGTCAAGGGGAGAAAATGATACAAGCAAGGAGATAAAAATGAACATGTTGGTTAATGGTGACAGTTAAGAAGATCTAAAATTATGATAATACATATATATTATGTGATACCATTTAGAAATAACCTTCACATGTATTGTTTCACTTGAGAAGATTTTTTTTTAGCCCGGAAATGAGAGATTAGCTATAACAGTAAGTAGGTACTATTGTGTGATCGAACAGGTGGGGAATACTTTTACCTATCTGAGCAAATTGGAAAAGGAATGTGCCCCACTATGCCATCAACAGTATTTAGGATTTTCTTTTTAACACTTGACTGTTCTTTTTCCTTTTGTTCTCTGACTACTCTGAAGTTCAAGTAAATCAAATTAAGGAATTATACCACTGTTCTTTTCCCATTTACTCCTATTTACGTCTCCATGAACCAGTCTTAGGTTCAGTCCCTGTTAGTTATGAGGAACTTGAATGGGACTTGTTATTTTATTGAAAAGACAACTTTTTTCCCCAGCACTGGGCTGAACACCTTTCAAACACTGATGCATTTAATCCCTTCAACAATCTTGTGACGTAGATACAATCAACAATTCCTAATTTATAGGTTCAGAGTTTACATGTCCAGTACCACACAACAAGGATGAAGTGTTAGGACTCCTGTCCCTAATCTAAGGCTCCTTAAGTGAAACCTGGTTCCAAAGCCAGCTGGAACATTTTATCCTGGAAGAATGGAACCTAGTTCCACTATTGCCTCTAGTGTAAAGACACCTCTGTAAGTATTGCCCACTTTTAATTACACTACGCTTAAATATGACTAAGAAAACCTATTAGTTCATCACTGTTCCATCCTCCCATTTAAAAGTTGGGTTCTAATAGGCAGTACTTAAAAAGATCAGGCCTCAATTAAAACTCTTAAACTTTTCAGCGTTGGTGAACTGCAGGCCTAGCTGGATATGAAGATCTAGCTTTTAGCTCTAAAGCAGAAAAACAAACTTTTCTCTAAACCTACAATTCTGTAGGCCTTTTTTATACATGGATAACAAATTCATGGAGAAGGCGTTCTATAGTTTCTGAATCTCACTCTAAAATTGAAGTCTTAAAAATAATCTGTTTTTTAATCTTGGGGCATAAAACCAGAATATACATGATCACACACACGGTTGGCTAGTTCTGTATTGAGCAAAGTTAAATCAGCCCCATTGCTTAATTCAGCTGTCTTTTATTGCCCTGGAGTCTAAGTAGCAGGTGGTGTACTACATATTTTGTGCTATCCTATTTTCTTTACAGCATTTATATTTGCACGCTTGTTTGATCTGATTGTCTCTCACCTCCAAAAGACATCTATTTAGCTCACCATTTTATCCCCAGCACCTAGTCCTGTGTCTGGCACATAATCAGTGTTCAGTTGAATGAATGAATGTATGCATGGAAGTATGCATGCATGGTGAGCCTCAGCTTGAGCCCAGAGCGTGTCTCACTTTAGCTCTAACAAGTGGGACAATGGGCCTTTGCTCGCTATTTGCTCTATTTCTCTTTTTCTCATTCTTAGACACCTAGTTGTGAGTTTTTACTGCTACACCTGAGGAATAAACTTTCCTTTACTATAGTCCATAGCTCAATATTTGTTCCGCTTTATATTTCTAAACCCTAAATTCTAAAAAGAGTACATAACCCAACAAAGGAATTTTTCAAATTTCTGCATTTACCTGCTAACACTTTGAGAGTATTTAAATCACTTTTAGTTATAACTAAAGTGATCATTATATTGAAAATAATAAAATGACATAAAATTGAAATGTCCTGGGAAAGCATTATAGATAAAAACACAGTTTCTGGGCTAATCCAGTTTTGCCACCAGTGTGGAATTAGGGTTTATAAAATATTGTGAACCAGACTATTTCACTTTAGGGCAACTCAAAATGATCACCCTTCACATGCAAGATGTGAAGTTGTTAAATTTATGCCTGGAGACACAGAAGATCAGATACTGATACCATGGTTTTTGGCCATTTGGTGTTTAAAAACATTTAATGTTACATGTTGATTAGGGAAATTAACCAAGTGCAAGTCTGAGCTGTAGCCCTAGCTGAAATTTTAACAGCACCCATTTTGGTCCTCTCCATATAACTTTTGTTTTTGAGGAAGATTAGCCCTGAGCTAACATCGGCCGCCAATCCTCTTTTTGCTGAGGAAGAGTGGCCCTGAGCTAACATCCATGCCCATCTTCCTCTACTTTATATATGGGATGCCTGCCACAGCATGGCTTGATAAGTGGTGCATAGGTCCACACCTGGGATCCAAACCGGTGAACCCCGGGCCGCCAAAGCAGAGCGCACAGACTTAACTGCTGTGCCACCAGGCTGGCCCCTCCACATAACTCTTATAAAATATTTTTACCTAGATCGAGTCTGTTGTCTAGAATTTCAGTTTGCCTTGGACTATTCTCAGCTTGACCTTATTTTATATGTCCTTGTAGTCTACCTAAAAAAATCTGCTCTAATAGCTGACATAAAGGGCATCTTGAGGACCAGCCCAGTGGCTCAGCAGTTAAGTGTGCACGTTCTGCTTCGGTGGCCCAGGGTTCTCTGGTTCGGATCCCGGGTGTGGACATGGCACCGCTTGGCAAGCCATGCTGTGGTAGGCATCCCACATATACAAAAGTAGAGGAAGATGGGCACGGATGTTAGCTCAGGGCCAGTCTTCCTCAGCAAAAAGAGGAGGATTGGCAGTGGATGTTAGCTCAGGGCTAATCTTCCTCAAAAAAAAGGGCATCTCATTTTTGATAAAATACCATTTACTATTTCATGAGCTTGCTTTCCTGAGTATGTATTGTCCCCGGCAGCTTTTAGTCTTCCCTACCTTTTTTTCTTTCTCCCTTTTCCCTCCTCCCTATCAAAAATATAGACAAGGTCCTTTTCAATCTTTTCTTCCTGGCTTATTCCTCAAGTGTGATCAGAAAAACTATATAGAGTCCTTTATAGTAGTGTCCTATCAAACTGTCGCTTCACTGTGTGATACCTGGGTTCTGAAATAGTCTCTTTCCGTTGTCATAACTGCCAAGAATAATCCCTCAGAGAAATATGTTTAATCTGCGAGCAGTTGAGACTTTCGGCTAAAGGGAGGTCATTTGAGACTTGAAATAGAATTTTCAGGGAAATTCTCTAGTTAGAAGTAAGAAGCTCCCTAACAAACTGGTGATGTTGAGAGAAGTGTAAAGCCACAGAGTGATCAGTAAGTGAAAAGGATTCTTCTGGGAGGGGAAGTATGGAGATTCACAAATGCCAATTAATTACGTCCTTCTTGCCCTCTGGGATCTAAACCGATTGAGAAATAGCCCCAAGACCCAGATGAGAGGGGAAAGATTGTTTTAGCTTCGTTACCCCGTAGATAGGGCACCCTGAGGTTCCTGGGTGAGAAAAAATGACTGGAACCTGTAGCCAAAACTGGACCCCGTACTGCAGTCCCCCAAATCCAGCCCTCGGAATTGCATTTTAGGAGAATTAGGTCTGTAGAGCAGGCATTTGGCCAGCCAGAGAGATCACACTCTATCCCAGGCACCGCTGAGTGAGAAGAAAGAGCCAAAGAGGAGTGAGCCTTCAGGCCATTTCTTGAAGACCTGTCCTGCCCCTTCACTGGCTATGCTTACCTCCTAGTAGGAAGAGGAGGAAAACAGAGGCTCTACTGGAAAACAAATAGGACCTAAAATAATAGCCCAGTCTAACCAAATCAGAGGAATGTAAGCAAGAAGCAGAAGTCCCCTCCGCTCTATTGAAATGTCATCAGTGTGGGTCAACCATTTTTAAAGCTTTTATTCCAATGTAATATGAAATAGCTTGGGAGCTTTTTTCTTTGAATTCAGAGACACTTCCTATAAGTAAATCAGGACTTGATAGCTTTCCAGCGTATTTTTTAAACCTTTTATTTCTGTATTCTTTTGAAATTTAGCATTTCCTCTAAAATGAATTGAGCTTAAGCATGCAACTCTTGATTAGATAAGGAAATGATTCTAGCAAATGCTGTCTGTTTCACAGGTTGTAGGTCATAAAGAAGGTCTGGATGTTATGGAGAGAGCTGATCCTTTATTCCTTTTAATTGGACTTCCTACTATTCCTGTCATGCTGATACTAGGCAAGATGATTCGCTGGGAGGACTACGTGCTTAGACTTTGGCGCAAATACTCAAATAAACTACAAATTTTGAACAGTATATTTCCAGGTAAGGCTTTGGATCGTGGTTGTGATGAGTATGCCAAATTAATCTTGTGAAAGAATCCTAGCATGCAAAGATATTTTAACTATTCTGATTTATTAGCACTGACACTGCATTCTTCTCTAGGAATTGGTTGTCCTGTTCCTCGAATTCCGGCTGAGGCTAATCCTTTAGCAGATCATGTGTCTGCCACCCGAATTTTGTGTGGAGCCCTTGTCTTTCCTACTATTGCGACAATAGTTGGTAAACTGATGTTCAGTAGTGTTAACTCTAATTTACAAAGGACAATCTTGGTAAGATGGCTTTAATAATATTTTTTCCAAGTGACTATACAAAAGAGAATGAGCTGTATATTTGTTTTTAAAAAAATCCCAATGGGACTTTATAAATATTCATTCTGTGGCTCCTGTGCCTTCAGCCTCTGTTTGATCCCCACTGTCATCCAATAGCAATAACAAGGAGAAAATCCACTGCAGTAGTTCTGGCCTTCCAGAACCATGCTGTGGGTGATCTCTCTCCTGGAAATCCCTCTTGCCAACAAGATTATGGTAAAGAGCTTCTGCTCTAGAACACGTTGGTTCAAATTGCTGAGAAATCTAAGTCAAACTTCTTGACTTCTCTGTGCCTATAGAATGGAGACAGTAATGGTAGCTGCCTCAGGATTATTGTGAGGATTAAATGAGATAATTCGTTTGAAGTACTAGCACCTAGTAAGCCCTTAATGTGGTTTGATGTCGTTATTATTCCCACTTTCCCCCTCTGGTGGCAGCCTGTACATAGCTCATGCATTCTCCCTGCTTTGTCAGACTGAATGTAGAGCTAGGTGGAAGGAGTATTACTCAGATAGGATAACAGGAAGGCATCTCTGACCTGTTACCAGTAGTGTCTCCCTATCTCACCCGCTAGTAGAAAAGAGAACTGTTTGATTTGCAGTCATCTGAATTAGCATTAATGCCTATGTCTTTTGTGATCTAAGTAAAATTATTTTTGTTCCTCTAAATTTGCGTTATAAAAAGCTGATTTTCCTTTTTATTTTAGGGTGGAATTGCTTTTGTTGCCATAAAAGGAGCATTCAAGGTTTACTTCAAACAGCAGCAATATTTACGTCAGGCACACCGCAAAATTCTAAATTATCCAGAGCAAGAAGAAGCATAAAACTGTGACTTCGCCTTGTTCTGCAGTTCTCTCATCCTTCTGAGTCTGTTGTGTTGTTTTGGTTCCATCATTAATGCACAGTAGTGGAGACTTGTGATAAGCTGCTGCTCTCATATTTTTAAGAAATATAATAAAGCACTTAGGACAGGGGAAATCCTCTCAGTAATCACGGAACCTGAGGATGTGATTTGTTTGCTTTATTTTGTATGTACTTCTTTTATGGCTGTCATCTGAACATTATTTTAGCATGGTAATTCTGGATTTTGTTCATATTTTCTCCAGATAGAAATGTAAAGATCAAACTGTGCAAATATTTCAAAATGCACATGCTGTTTTATTCAAATGCCTCTTTTGTACATGTTCATGTTCAATGTTTTCTTAGAATCAGCAACTCAATGAAGGTACTATGAGGATTTTTCTCACTGGCATAATTTGATTACATGCTAAACAGGAATATATGTTAATATGAGGAAATGTAAATTAAATTAGTTATAAATAAATAACAAACCAAAAATGTATGTAAACATTCAAATGATTATCTGAACAAATGTGATTTTGTTATGTTTTTCTTAACCCATGTGATGTCCTCCAAAATGTGTAGGGGAAAAATTCACAGGGCTTCCAGATCACTTTTTCACTATTAAATTTTATTTATATAATGTTGACATCTCATAGTTCATAATGTAATTTTGACTCATGCAGTCTTAATTACTCTGTGTGTGTCTGCGTGTCTGTGTGAGAGAGAGAAAAAGAGAGATCAGGTCCTTTCATCACTGGAGTAGAGTTTTTAAATCCATATTTCTAGAAATTAGAGCTGCCAGTTTATAGTAGTTTGAGCACAGAGAACGATTTGAAAAAAAATCAGTAAAGTTATTTTACTCTCCTTCATTCATTGAGTCATTCAGGTGTCTGTTAATCACCTGTTTGCCCAGGCACTGTGCACAGTGCTGTGGGATACAGTGCTGAACAAGACAGACTTGGTTCCTGCTTTACATAGTGTACGGTCTAGCTTCAGCAGATGGAAAACCAGCACTGAGAAAACCAAGGTGAGGCCTTGAGCTCTTTGTTTTTACACCAGTCAGTGAGGAGATAATTATGAAAACAAGAAGTCTTGAGTAAATATTGAGGTCATTGTTTTTGGCTTAAGTCAATTTATTATTTTAAAAAACCAATACTAATGTTTTTCGATTTTAATTGTCATTTTGGTGAGGCTAGCACCTTAATAATCACTGTTTAATTAGTTTTATATTCATTTTTCAAAAGCAATTATTTAAGCCATTTTCAGTAGTGGCCCTTTTAGTGTTGCTCAGCAATCTGAATGGTCTTGGAGTTATTTTCATTAATTAAAATCAAAAGATAGTTTCAAAACCCTATTTGTTTTCTTGTTCACAGTATCTAATGCATGACACTTAACAAACATTTCCCCTTATACTTCTCTTTAGGAGTGTAGCACATATAGATTGAGCTATGTAGATTGCAATAATGTATGTTAACTTTAGTAATTTAAGACTGGTACCTTTCTATAGTATGAATGTCTTAATTTTGAGTTATAACATGAAGTTTATGTGAATGGCTGTTGAACATTCAAATTGTAATTATTTGGGGACGAAGGGAATATTTGACTGACAGTGAGCCTTATTAAGAACACTGCTATAGTTCTGAAGGGGAGATATAAAATCTATGGTTATATATAAAAATAACTTAGATTATATAGCTGTAATTATAAAATATATTGGCTTTTCTTTAATTTTCAATATGAAAAGACAGATATTTCCTGCATAATTTTGTTATATAAAACAGCTTTTAGGCAGCATTTACTAAAGTTATATAAGCATAAGCACACAGTTCCCCATTTACTACTTTAATGCCAAGATGAGGGATTAGCTGCTTGGTTTTATGACATCAGGGCTCTTAAGGGCCAGGGAAACAACTCTAATCCTTTGGGGGCAGGGGGCAGGGGTTTCTGGGGCTGTGGGGAGGGAAGTGCAAGTGCCTGGGGACCAGAGTGGCCTCTAGCCCTGGAACTGAACACTTTTAAACCTGACGAGCCTTAGCTCAGGAAGTACTATGTACCAGTCTCTTCAGAAAGGTGGCCCGCGCCACCATGAAGCAACAGAAGAGCATGGGCTGACTAAAGTTGGATGGACCTGCCTTCATATCCTAGTTCTGCTTTTAATAACTATGTATGACTTTGCCAAGTGACAACTTGCTCTCAGCTGCAGTTTTCTTCATCTCTGAAATGCAAGTAATACGTATCTCACAAGACTGTTTCTAGGATTAACTGAGAAATCAAAGGAACAGAGGCACTTTAGGCTCGAAATAGCCCCTACAGAGCGGTAGTTGTTTCTTAATTGCTAAAGAGCCCGAGCACACTCTAGGAAAAGGGGATGAAGAGGTGCAAGAAAGGCATTAGGGGACAGGTTGAAGGGATGCTGTAGACTTTTGGGATGGGTGGGTATATTTTGTGTTTTCCAGTTTATTTTCATGTTGCTTACTGTGTTATTTCTATAAACTTTAATGTTTTAAACTTCTTTTATAAAATTCAATGATAACTAGTAGAATTCTCTTCTTTCAGAAGTTAACTTGTCTCCAAAGTGGCTGAAAATATTGTTCATCATTACATGATTATCAAATGACTGTGAAGAATATAAAATTAAACTTAGTGACTTAATTAGTCACTGCCTTGCTAACTGTGCTGTAATTTTTTTAAACGTCTTGTTTTTAATATAGCAGACTATCTCAATACTGGCTGGATTAGGTTAAATAAAGAATTTTTATGTTCTCCAGGTGTACTTTGTCTGTTGAACAACTCTGAAAACATAATTCGTTAATTCTGTACCTACATAGTTCTTTTTAAATCATAGTTATTGAGATAGTAGTGAGATTTTACTTTTAGTAAAAATAATCTGAATTTTTAAAAAACTATGGAAGAATTTGTCTTAATTTTGTAAGCAGGCTGGCCTGAATTCCAAGTATGTTCTCATTTGTTTTGTTTATTTATTTATTTTTTTTTTTGAGGAAGATTAGCCCTGAGCTAACATCCGCTGCCAATCCTCTCTTTTTTGCTGAGGAAGACTGGCCCTGAGCTAACATTCATGCCCATCTTCCTCTACTTTATACGTGGGACGCCTACCACAGCGTGGCTTGCCAAGCAGTGCCATGTCTGCACCCGGGATCCGAACCGGCAAACCCTGGGCTGCCAAAGCGGAGCATGCGCACTTAACCACTGCACTGCTGGGTCGGCCCCTGTTCTAATTTTTTAAATATCCCCTCTCGCCTACCCTCAGAGCCACTTGGACTGACTGATTAGACAAGCAACTAGATAAGATCTGGGTGGTTTCATGCTACAGAATATCTTAAAGAATATTCAAGTGGGTTAGGAACTCATAAAAAAAGTTGCTTCCTCTGAGATATAAGTTTCTGAAGATGATTAGAATCTTTTAGATTGAGTAAACTAAAAAAAAAAAAGGCCCATCCATGGGCATTTTATTGTCTCTAGGTCATTTCATTAACTCCATCTGAGAGACAGACTAGCAGAGGAGAAACGGCATACAGTCCAACAGTCCTGGATGCATATTCTAGCTGATACTTGATCAGTTGTAGGGTAAGTTACTTTATCTCTCATCAGTTTCCTCATCAATAAAATGATCATTGTAAAACCTATCTCCGGGATTATTGTGAGGATCAAGTGAAGCAACTTTCTAGGACAGTTTTATATACAGAGAACTCTAAATCTGTGCCAATTTAAGAAGTTTGTTTGCCCGTCACCTTTCTTTGGTCTCTGGGATCTCAAGGTTGCCTCTGCTGCCTGCCACCCCATACACCCATTAGAAATGGTACAGTGATGAAATGTTTTGTTTAATTGCCTTCCTGGAACCAAGATCATGAGCAAAAGGAAACAGTTGAATGGCTGTAGAGAAGCATTGTAGAAGCAACAGGCTAGGCCATCATTCTGGTCAACCCCCTGTGGATTTCAGCATCTTACTGACGACAGCCTGCCAAGGTTACTGCATGTTAACAACATATACTGCTTTACCAGATGCTTGATGAGCACCTGTAAGAGCCAGGCATTGTGCTAAGTCCTGGGGTAAAATGGGAAATAAGCCTGCTTTGAGATGTTAAGAGACTTAAAAGTACACAGCAGGTCTGTCTTAGCCTTATGATGTTAACCACCACAAGTATGTAAGAGCCATAAGGGTGGGGATTTTTTTTTACTTTCATTTATTACTCTATTCCACAAATTAACAGCATTCTTGGGCCACTGTGGAATACTTTGAACTCTTAGAAGATGTACGCTAGTTTAAAATAACAAGAAACAATCTGTAACAGGAACTGAGAGGTAATATGTTCATGATTTTTTAATAATACACATCAGTGTATTTATCTGTATGTATCAATATTTCTATCAATTCAGATAATGGTACACCAAAAATAAGATGTGCCAAAGTGCACTGTTTTTAAGTATAAATCTTGATGATTGTTTGCAAAATGATCACATATGTAATGTATCAGTCCAGGTCCAGTCAGGAGATAGAAATCACATCAGTTATTTGAACAGGGAAAATATAATACAAGGAATTGTTAACTGCTAGGAAGTAAATACTGGAAAGAGTAAAAGAGGACTTTAAAGCAAAGTAGCATGGACAAAAAAAGCAGCTACTCCCTCTAGGCTGAAGGAGAGTGAACAAGAAGGAAACAGAACTAAGAGAAGGCCGCCTTCCCCCGAAGGCTGAGACTCAGACCCCTGTGAGGACGGCGTGGCTGCCACAGGAACTGTGTCTGAGGGGGTGGCAGAGGGACTTGTCACAGGGCAGGCTGGAGCTGGTCTGTAGAAGCTGAGCTGGAAGGGAAAGAGGCCCGAGGGTGTGCCTAGACGTCTGCACAGGCTGCTGGGCTCTGGTGCTGAAGGGTCAGAATACGGAGGCTGGAACCTGGAAGGGAGGTATCTTCCTGACACAGTGGCCGTGCATTGTCACTCCAGTGCCCTCTTTTGAAAAAGCCTAATGTTCCAAAGGAAAAATGTGTACAGGATCCAGGTCGATGTCACAAAGTTGGGCAAAGAAGGGTGAATCCGGAACTGAGAGAATAAGTTGGCACACGTATCCAGTGCCCTTCTTCATGACCCCTCCTAGTCAATCTGACACCCCACCCCCACCCCCACCACAAGGAAACATAATCTTGATCTATTTTCAGTTAACTTAGAAAGTATTTGGCTCAGTCATTTAATCCTGATATATTTGATTCACAGAAAAGACCATAAGTGATTTAATACAATAACATCAAGGATGACAAATGGGCCATTTTCATGTATTCTGGTTGGGGTATAAATTGATATGGAGGGCAGTTAGACAATAGCTGTCACAATTAGAAATGCATGTATCCTTTGACTCAGCAGTTCCAACTCCAGGAATTTATCTTAAGATATACTTGCACTTGAGTACAGCAATATATCTATAAAGTTATTTGTTGCAGTAGTATATGTTATAACAACAGATTGGAATCAACCTAAATGTCTGTCAGTAGGGAGTTGGTTAAATCAATTATGGTACATCCATAATGGAATACTATGCACCTATAAAAATAATGAAAGAGCTGTTTACATACTGATAACGAAAATATTTTTAAGATTATTGAAAGAAAAAAATCAAAATGTAGAACATTACTTATAGTATGTTACTGCTACTGGAAAATAGGGGATGGGAAACTATAGAGACATTTGTTTATGCCTTTGAAAAATCTCTGGAAAGATAGGTAAGAAAACTGCACTTACCTATGGGATGTTTGGGAAATGGGAGGATGGAGATTGGGGGTGGGAGGGAGATTATTGTTACCTTTTATACTTTTTTCTTAACTATGTAGATACATTATTTTTAAAGTAATTAAGAATTAAATTTTCTCACTGAGGACAGTACTGAGAATCAAATAGGAATTTCTTTTTCTTTTGAAGATGATAACATTTGAACTGTATGACAATAGTTTCTCCTTTCTAAAGACTGATATGATTTTTTTTTAGAAATAATTTTGCTTCTCCCTTAAGTAGATCTAGTAGATAGTCAATAAATGCTTTATTGGACTGAATTTGCTTCCCGTAAGATTCATTTTTGATTGATTGAACTTTTTTTTTCTTTTTTTGCTGAGGAAGATCCACCCTAAGCTAACATCCACTGCCCATCTTCCTCTTTTTGTATGTGAGCCACCACAACAGCATGGCCACTGACAGATGAATGGTGTAGGTCCGCTCTCGGGAATCAAACCTGGGCCACTGAAGCGGAGCGTGCCAAACAACCACCAGGCCATTGGGGGTGGCCCTAATTGAACATTTTACAACTAATTTTGTCCAGCAGTTTGCGCAAGTGAGTGATTTTTGAGACAAAACTATCCAGCCTGTAAACATGGATACTAGAACTTATTAAAGCAGGAAATTAATGAAGGTTTATTACTCATTCATTTATTTATTCATTCATTTGTTGAGCAAATGTTTCTTGAAAACAGTATCTATCTGATACTACGCTAGGCATAGGAAATTCAGAATTAATAATAATAATGACTTGTAGTATCCAACATTTCCTGTATGCTTGCTATGTGCCAGGCACTGTTCTAGGTATGAGGATTAACTTATTTAATCTTCACAACAACCCAAACATACTGTTTTTATACTAAACAAATTGTAATATATTCCAAATGTGGCAACTGAGGCACTCTGGTTTTGGTTTGGTTTTTAAAGAAAACTACCCAGGGATACATTCCTCTACCCTCATGGAGCTCACAGTCTAGTAAAGGGGACAGGAAGAAAACACAAATCCTAGCATGGAGTGAAAAGTGCAGGGACAGAAGAGGTACAGAGGCAGTAACAGGGTGGGGCTTCCTAGAGGTGGATCTTGGAATATGAGTAAGAATTTGATGTGTCTGGTTAGCTCAGTTGGTTAGAGCATGGTGCTAATAACACCACAGTCTCGGGTTCGATCCCTGTATGGGGCAAGAGGAGTCTCTTCTTGGGGCCGGCCCAGTGGCACAGTAGTTAAGTTTGCGCACTCTGCTTTGGTGGCTTGGGGTTCACAGGTTCAGATCCCAGGCGCAGATCTACACACTGCTCATCAAGCAACGCTGTGGCAGCATCCCGCATACAAAAAACAGAGGAAGATTGGCACAGATGTTAGCTCAGCAACAATTTTCTTCACACATACACACAAAAAGAATTTGACAGATGGGAAGAAAAGGACATACATAGGCACAGTGTCTTGAAGAAAATGCTGAAAGAGTGATACTGACATGCTAGTCTCATATACTCAAATATATTGAAAAGGGGCGACACTTAAAACTGTGGTACTGTCCTATAAACGGACAAAACTTTGGAAAGACTAGAAGTCCAAAAATAGACCCAAATACAAATGGGAATTTTGTATATGGAAAAGGAACCATTTAAATCAGTGAAAACAAAGCTGGATCAATCAGTACACAGTGTTGGAGAGCCTTGTAGCCATCTGGAAATTCCGTTTACCAAAATAAAGTCCGGTTGGAACAAAAATTTAGACACAAAAAATGTAACCATTAAAACATCACGAAAGGGAGAAAATATTTGCAAGACACATATCTGATATAGGACTTGCATCCAAAATACACAAATAACTTAAAATTCAACAATAAGAAAACAACCCAATTAAAAAGTAGGCAAAGGGCTGCCCAGTGGCGCAGTGGTTAAGTGCGCATGTTCTGCTTTGGTGGCCTGGGGTTTGCCGGTTCGGATCCCAGGTGCGGACATGGCACCACTTGGCACGCCATGCT